GACACTTCAAGGTAAATTATCATAAAAACAATACCTTTATAGAGTTGTTAACATTCACAGTTAGAGTAATAATACATAAACTTATGTGATACAAAATATCACATTTTCAAAATTTCTTTTGACAAAGTAAACGACCATTTGTTACAGTTTCTACATTTAATATATAACTTTACAATTCAAATATATATTATACCATCTGGTAAATTCTTACCAGAGTTTCTAGAGTAAAAAATATAAATTTTAATGAGTATACTCATATATTAACTATAATAGCCATACAATAACTATAATAAATACACTTAAAACTTGAGTATATGATAGCTTAAATAATATTTTAGATTATAAAGATTGTAAAATGCATAAATGTGCAAATATTTTTCACTATACAAACACCTAATCAAGTGCCCAGTAATTTCGGGCTTTTGCATTATAATCCTTTTGATAAGGAGTAATTGTTAAAGCCTTATATTGAGAATTCACATCCTATAAATAAAATAATTTAAATTAATAAAATGCGCAATTTAATCGAAATGTAAAATATATGATGTACAAAATTACTAGCATTGGCCTTAATACTTAAAATTTTGAAAATAATATTTGCCTGTAAAACCTTTGTTGTTGCCTAGAGATATTTCGCATTTACGCAGAAGATGAACTTTATATAATTAAATACAATTTCGATGAATAATTTATAATTATTTTTACAACATAAGCATTGTCATAATTTGCAACAAATGCTGATGCATTTAAATTTTGCATTAGCCACCATTTAACAATTCTATTTGATTCAAGGGCAAGAACATCTGCATTAAGTGTTGAGAAAATGCAAATATTGTATTTTAGTACGATATTTATAATATATGCAAATTAATATATATAGGCATATATAAGCGTGTATGGATATGTTCATACACTGTTTTTATCAGTACAAAGTATATTGTTTACAAGTTTGTTACGCAATACTTATATATACTGTAATGTCACGATCATACTTATTAGTGATAAGCAAGGTTTTATTATGTATATATATATATATATATATATATTATATATATATATGTGTGTGTGTGTATATATATTAACTAATAAACAACTAAACTTAAAAATAAATCAATATGAGTCAATCATATACTTTTATTATCCATTACCTAATTTCTTATTTATATATTTTCAACAATGCTCGATTGTTCCTCAAATTAGCATATTGACAAAAGTAAATATACTTTTTGTAAGTTCTGAGGCTTGGGGCTTACAATTGCTAAATAGTAAATTATCGCTCGAAAAAAATTTGGTACTGTGCAGAAAAACAGTTTCTTGAAACCTATACTTACAACAAATATAAAGACCCATTTGTACTTATAATGATATAATATAATTATCACAATAATTATATCCGTATCATCAATATAGTTCAATTTACCTGTGTTTATAATTTACTATTGTTTTTAGCATTCTTTTCCATTTAACAACAATCTTCTTTCGCCCAATATATGAGTAATGTTCAAAATTGTAAATATCTGGTAAAATTCCATCGCTTTGTTGGAAATCCATTCAATTCAATTCGTATTTATACAATCGATAAATAGTAGAGGAGAGGAGTTTTAAAAAACTATTCTTGGAGTTTATACTAAAATTTGGACATAAGTAGGATATAATATATACTTGTTTATATTAATTAATTAATACTATTAAATTAAATATAAATGAGGTTCTATATCTAATTAAACGGGACAATAATATCTGTTGCACTCAAATTGAACTTATAGTTCGACCCTGTTTATGCATGTAATTATGCTTCCGACTTTTGGCCCATTCGACATTGACAATGAAGATATATATATATATATATATATATATTATATATATATATATATATATATATATATATTAGATATTTATTTTTTAATCTATCGATTCTTTTGTGTTTATTGCATGTAAATTAAATATAGAATAATAAACAATGACTTTTCAAGTAAAAAAGATGTACAAGATAGAGGTTCAAAGTTATTACGTACCATAATACGTCCACAAATATTGGATTAAATTAAATTAAAAAAATATTCGTTCGAAACCAATTGATTATATTTTTGAAATACCTACCTTTTAATATATAAATCGCCTTTATAGATGATTCAATAAAAAAAATTTGAAAAACTTATATTGTACGTACGGGTACTATTGTAGACGATTGATTTTGAACACTTTTCGGACATTTTCAAGTTTCAAAAGAAATTGGCCTAAGAGAATAGACTAAATATGTAAAGTAAATGTATAAATTGAATTTACAATATACGCATCTTCTAAGATCTTTTATACATATCAATAATTTTGTATCAACATTTGTATTTATGAAACCACAACGAAGTTAGTTGTTTGTATTGTGGTTTTTATACTGTGAAGTTAGATGTGGACGTTAGTTACATTTTAAAAAGCTAAACCAAATAAAACTATTAAAAACTCGCATTTTTAATAAATTTAGCATATATAAACAAATTCAATTACAAATAAAATTACAAACAAATCCAAATGTTTTAAGATAAACAATGCTAATTTCAAAACACAGATAAAAAACATTGAATTCCTTTCCGTTGAAGTACAATGAAGTTGATGACGATGACAACTTACCTGTAACGTTTTTAAATATATTTTTGAATTTGCATATTTTCAATTAATATATACATATTATATAATTTTGTTTGAAATATAATAATGCAAGCCACCAATTTAAAATTTTACACGTGAACTAACAATAAGCGAATACCTTCTAGCCAAAGCAGGGGTATTTCTTTATTTATAATTTCTCTCTAATATATTGATTATTGATTAATATAATTTATAAATTAATGTAACATGCACAAGTTACAACTATGCTCAATAATATATAATTCAGAATGCATTATTACTACAAGTTGTACAAACTGTAATAATAATGTGTAGATGTAAATTTACATAATAAATGCTCTGAACTTCAAAACAATTTAGAAAAAATATATAACTTATAATAAATTGTAATAATATTCACCTAATAGGTGTAATAAATACATGCAAATATATAATAGGATTATAACAGAAAAACCTACTAATAATGATATTAAACTGAAAAATTCATTTAAAATACATAAATTTGTTAAATGTGGCGCAAACTGCAAAGGATAAAAATAGAACTAGGTTTTGTTAATATTAAAATACATACAATAAGCAATAAACATATAGAAAACAGTCTTGATTTAATTACTTTTGGGTACCATATGCGTTTTCGGTTAAACGATGATATTTTCGTAACAAAACCACGAAGGAAGACATTTATTTCGCAAGACTGGCCACGATTTTTGCTTCCAAACGAAACATTTCATTTCAGTTCAAATCGAAATGATGTTCTGACGAGTGGTCTGTGCCAAAATGATGTGGAATAGCTAAAATAATATGAAATGAACTTGGAAAAGTGATACTTGTGCAAAAATTGATATATTCGTGGGTAATAGAAGTTTTAGTTTAAATAAATGCACGTCATGTAAATAAAATATATAGAACTATGAATAGAATTTGAGTGTTATAGACTTATATGTAAAGTCCTGTTTTTAAGAATTCAAGTATATAAACTGTTTTTAAATGATAAAAAGCGCAAAAAAACAAATGTTATTAGATTGCATAAATATCCTCATAAATATCCTCAAACACAGTTTTTACTACTGTTTAGTTATTTAGTTTTTTTATACTGTGAAACTCATGTTTATATTATTTCTATTCTTTGTGAAAAAACTTGATACACTTGAACGTTGTACAAAACCATTTGTAAAATATAAACTCGCCTTTTAAATTTAAATCAAAGAAATGTTAAAAAGTGATAACTTTTAATCTATATATATATATATATATATATATATATAATTTTAGAACTCTCTGTTATATATGCTTTAGCTTTGGCAAATGTGGATTTATATTTATAGACTTTGAAATCCAAATCATGTCCTATATATAATATTAAGTTGAATAATTTACGTAAAGTGTTCCATCCATCACGCAACACATAAAAATAATATTTATTAATCATTTGTATAATTTTAACAATTTAAAAATAGAGTTTAAATATTACATTCCAAAATTACAGCATCGTACAGGCGGAGTTCTGGCAATAACTACCGAAGAAATTTTAACAGTCATGACAATTTTATTATTTATTATTATTATTATATATTATATATATATATATATATATATATATATATACATTTAATTCATAACTTCATGTTTTGTATAAAATATCACAAGTAATTTCATAAGTGAAATCTTTGTCCAAACATATTTCATAAACAAAGTCAACAAAGTTATTTCAAAGAAATGTCGCATAATAATGTATTAACACTTTGAATTAGCGTGTAGACGACATGCAAACTTATTACACACACTTAATATATATATATATATATATATATATATATTATATATATATAAATTATTTCAATTTAATGCTTACCTATTTTCTTATTCAGGGTGCCCAGATGAAAGGGTGACAACCCCGTGTCCGCCGTCTCCGCCCCCGATTCCGCTGCAGACTTATCTTTGGAGGACGTTAGAAGGGAACGAAAAAAAGGGGGCTACCCTTGGACGCACTTCGTTAAGAGGCCTTTCGATCCTGATGCTCCACAGGTAAAATATTAAAACATTTTTAAACAAAATATGTTATATGACTTACACTCACTCGATGGGAAAATTCTGGTATTCTATGATATGATTATTCTTTTCCCAGGAAATTTTGGAGTACGACCGGTCCCCAGGCAGTAAACGTAAATACGGAAGCCTAGATGTTCAGGAACTAGAAGAGTCTCCGAGTGTCACTAGAAGAAGAAGAGCGGCATCCGCTGGAGAGTCTTTGGGAAACGAAACCAGACTTAACGGTGATACCAACACAGGAGTAAATCAGTATCTATAGAAGAACAAATACCGAGTACCAGTAATGCATCGCCTAAAAGCATTTTAAAAAATCGCCCAAAAAAAATTGAACTACCTGCTGCATTGAAAAGGGGCGCTGATAGAGACTCGCCAAAGGATTCCGAATGTTGTCACCCGTTCGTGGATAAGTTAAAGACTATAGCGGACAAGAATATTTTGAAGTCTCCAAGAGCTATGAAAAAGTTATTGAGACCAAGTCCCAAAAACAGCAAGAAACATGCGGATCCCCTGCAGGAGATTGTCACTCTGGACGAATCGCCTTCTGCAGAAAGGAGAAAACGTGAGACGGAGAAAATATTTGAAAAGTGTTCGCCCAAAAGAAAGGATAGCAAAAAGTTCAAGGATCACATATACGAAAGTATAGAGGACTTACCAAATAAAAGTCTAACAGAATCAGTTTCTGAGAAAGAACTGAACGCCATCGCCAAATCTTTATCGGAAGCCGAAGACATCGGCAGAGTCACCGACGATCTCATAGCCCGTGACAGCTTGACTCGATCCTTAGATCAGTACCTCAAGGAAGAGCTTATGAGCGCCGAAGACCAGGCCATGATCGACTCCAAGAACGAAATCTTGCAAGACATCCTGAAAAGAATAGCTGATGAGAACCAAGCACAAGCACCTTTGTCCAAAATGGATTCCGAGGAGGAAGAAAAAGCCAAACTGGTCAAGCAAATGCCAATACCTGAAAAGGATGAGGAAATGGAAAATTTAGACGGCGATAAATGTCTAGTCATCGATATTACGGAAACTGTAGAAGAAGAAATTGTTGATTTTATTGTAATGCCAGATGAGGATCAGGACATTGGCGAACTTTCGGAAAAAGGCGAGGTGTTCGATTCCGGTAAATATGAAGAAGAGAAGAAGAAAGTTTCTCAGGATAAAGAGTCGCTCTCGGATAGCGGCGAGAAAGATGAGCAGTTGGATGCCAAAAGCCGTAGATCAAAATTCAGGTCAGTAGAAAAAATATTCAAAAATGCACACGAAAGTGTTCTCATAAGTTCTTTTATAACTTGATATTTTATTTCTATTATAAATCTATTAATAAAATAATATAGATGTAATAAATTTATCACATCTAAATTACACGTCTGTAGTATAAACAATGCGCTTTGTAAAACATTTTATTAACATAAATGAACATTTCTGAAGATTTTTATAAAAATATGCCAAATTTTGTTTATAAAACTTATTGAGATTAGTCTTATAATAGACATATTATGGAATAACATATGTATATATATATATATATATATATATATATATATATATATATAATCGAATATATATTTTCGAATTTAATCAAACCGATGGCAAGCGATATTTTTTAATCATTACAAATATCTCGTCATACATTGAAACTATCAATTTTGTATATTCTTGGCATAAGTATCTGAGGTAATAATAGATTTCCAGTTAGTGCAAAATATGTTCCTGCGCGGATATAAATACATAGGCATTAACGCATTAACGCATACATCTGAATAATCTGAGGCTCCATCAAAACAAATATAAACCGTCTACATAATATTATTGGCATCGAAAGACTAGATATGTTATTTTGGTCGCAAGCCGGTCTGTCCTGCGCCTTTCGACAAATCTTTCGCAGTGCACGGCTGACGATCGTGTCACCTAGTAAATTAGTAATATTTTTAAGTTATTTTTGTTAATATCGAACGAAAAGGTTTCGAAAGACATACGATCGGTTTTTGTAAAATTATATATAAATTACAAGTCCTGGTGTCACTAGATACAAATTCAATATGTCCGCAAATCGTGCAAACGCGTCGCCCTTCGTCTTGTTTACATAATACATGTCCGACAAAATTATATTTTGTAAAATGTTTCAAACGTTCTCATAATTGTGCAGATTTTATTTTTAAATATAATATTTGAAGTGAAAAAGAAATTTTGTTCACCAGCGTATTTTTTTGTTATGTTGGTTGCGTGATTGTGCAGTGATGTGTGAAAATTTTTGCTGTGTATCTATATAAAAAAAAATAACTACGCTCAAATTTATTATATAATTCAAGGTTAAGTGAAGTTGAATCCAAAATGTATAAATTAATTACAAAAGTGTAGTTATACAAAATGAGTGCACGTTGGAGATCAGCCTCTCTCGGTTCCCAACCGATTCAAAGACCAAAAGAGAGATCCCGGGCAGGAAGTGCAGCTCCCGTAACACCAGAAGTAAGATGTGCCTGCCAATTTTTTCAAAGTGATTCTTTACTTCCCGATAGAATTAATCCCGTAGGCTCCAGATCATCTTCTAGAGCTGACAAATCCGTAGAATATTACAAATCAGATTACAATCAAGATGTATCAATGGACATGGATGTTGACACGATGGGAACTCCTCTACAAAAACAAGTACTGTCGACAGAGTCATCTTTGCGTGATTTTATTAAAAAATTAGAAGAAAAATCTGGTGATGTAACTGATGATAAAGTGTATGACTTGGATCAAGAATTGTCTGTGCCGGAGATACAAATAGAATTCGATAACAGATCTGAGTCCAAACTACGTTTTGATGAATTTATTCAGCAAAAATTAAAACAAGAAGAAGAAGCTAAAAAATCGTCTGAAAAACCACCTCAACTCTTCGTGTCACGACTAAGAGATCGCTCCAAAGACGTTTACATCCCTCCACAAAGATCGAGCACCGAGGAGAGTTTCATCGATGACTTAGACTATTTGGATGAGCCAAAACTGAAACGAAAAACACAATCCTTCAGAACTTTTTTCCAAAAATCACCCAAAGACCGACCAACATCGAAATCACTAAAACATCGTCCCAGGTCTCGAAACAGACGTCAGAGAAAACAGTCATTTAAATCTTGGCTTCAAAAATCGGCAGACCATGAAGAAGGTCCCAAAGAACAAAATATTTCTGAAAAAAGAAAACGTTCCTCTTCAATCACAAAATGGTTGCAAAAAACTGAAAAGAAGGCATACGATTTAGATAAGCCTATTGATCAAACTAATCAGTTGGTAAATATTGATCAAACAAAGAACAAGAATACCTCTTGGTTTAACAAAAATAAAAATCCAGAAAATCAAAAGGATACTTTTGAAGATCAAATAGAAAATACTGATGAAACCAGGAGCAGAAAAACATCTTGGTTTAGCAAAAATAAGGAGCCAGGTGATCACAAAAATATAGTTGATGACCAAATGGAGACTACTGATAGTAACAAGAGTAGAAAAACGTCTTGGTTTGGTAGAAATAAAGACCCAGACAATCAAAAAAATATCATTGAAAACAAAATAGAAAATACTGATGAATTAAAAAATAATAAAACATCTTGGTTTAATAAAAATAAAGATCAAAATCAAAAGAATGCGGTTGAAGATCAAGCAAAAAATAATGATGAAACAAGGACTAGGAAAACTTCTTGGTTCAATAAACATAAAGATCCAGAACCTCAAGCAATTACTAATGAGGATCATCTAAATGCGACATCAGATAATGATATAAATAAAACAACATTATTTCAAAATTTGTCCTTCAAAAAGGAACAACCGGAATCAAAACACATGGTGGAAAATAATATAACACGAACAATTCCTCAAATAAATATAACCGATGATGGTGATAAAAGTATTGACACCAAGAAAACTGGCACATTCAAAAACTTGTTTCATAAGAAAGAAATACATGATACTGGTGTTGGCGTAGAAGTAACATCATTTGATGCTAAATCAGAAGATACGAAATCTGCATCTATAAAAAGGATATTCGCCATAAGCGGAGATTCTGCAGATAAAACTTCAGATCCTAATGTAGCAGCAAACCTGCATACTAATAAACCAGTGAATTTGAAAAGGATTTTCTCTAAAACCAAAGATTCCATAAGTACAGATAAAAAAATATCAGATAAGGATACAGAGATTTCAAAACCATCTCAATTTACGTCCTGGTTTCACAGGAAAGATGAAATCCAGATGATATCTGACAATGCTGAAAACAACAATCCTGAGGCATCTTCAACTATAAATACTGATGATAACAAAGACAGCGAGGAAAAACTAAATGCATTTAAAAAGTGGTTTAATAAAAAGCAAGAACCCGCTAATGATTTTACCAACGATGAAGAACCTACTAAGAACGTAACAGAAGAACCGATTACAAATAACGATCCAGAGAATACAAAATTCAAAACCTTGTTCCGCAAACCAAGTCCACAACCGGGATTCAATTCAGATGAGTTGAATAAAAACCAAGATGTAAAACCAGTCCTCACAAGGCCCCAATCCTTGGAACGTCCTGGAACCAGACAGTATTCTCAGCACCGATCCAGAGCCGATGACAGGCCTGTACACAAACTTATGGAGCACTACGACAGACCTGAAATCAGGAGAGCCGTTATGGTATCTCCCAAAAGGCAAATTCCGGCACCGGCTGCTCCTATTTATATTTCCGGCGATGGAAATGATGAATACGAAGCAAACGCTCGGTAAAAAGATTAAATAAAAATTACTTATTTAATATAAATAAAATATTGGGGTGATTTGAACAAAATTAAATAATCATCAATATGATCAATATCATAATGTCCTAGGGTAACTTGGTATTATAAAGTCGTTGAATAAAGATTCTGAGCGTTTTAAAAGTGTATTTAATCCTTTTAGAGTTTTGTTGCAGATCTTGAGCCATTTTAATGGTATAACGAATAAACTCGTTCAAAATTTAATGATCTACAACTTTTACTAACAAAGTTTAGCACGGCCTACTGACCTTAGATCAATACCGTCAACTCCAAAAACATATTTGAAAACTGCAATAAAACATAGATATATTTGTTAACTAATAAGCAAGAATTGTAAATAATTTGACAAAATTAAAAATTGTAATTAATAGTCAGTTTATTAATTAATTAATAAACTGACCTAGATCACTTTGATCTACTCATAAATACAATAAAGGATAAATAGTACTGCACACTTCAAATAACATTAATAATATTAGTGTCATTAAGATATGAATCGTTTAGAATTTGAATTTTGAATTTTTTTTTATTTTGTGCTTCATTGTGGATGAATGAAGAAGCATTACTCTTAAAAACTATTCTATTTTATACTAACACCTAACACATTTATATCTTGATCAATTTTATTAATTTTTAGTAAATGACAAATATAAAACGACTTTTAAATTGCTTTACCCTGATATTAATTTTTCGAATAATATATTTTATTTTGTGTTTACAGCGATCACGAATATGAATCCATCGGCGACCCAGACTCGGAAGCCGGCCCAAAACCGACGTCAGCGGAGTCTAATCAGAATCAAATCGAGCATGAGACTTCGAGCTCGGTCCCATTTCAAGAACCTTCACACCTTGATGAACACATTGAATCCGATAGAGAGTTGACCGTGGCAGAAATGCAACAACAAATAGAGGATAAGTATTTCAAAAAAGTTGATGACACGTTAGTCATGCCCACGACGCAAGCTGATGCGCCCGAAATGCTAGAAGAAGATGAAGCAAAGGCTCCGACGAGGACAGTCGGTGAAAGGAGTAGAGACATGCAGCGTAGGTTTAAAAATCAAGCAGGCAAATTGAAAACTAAATTCAAAGGCATGAAAAAACCCACGTTTACTATGCCGGCACGTAAGAAACCTAGAATTAGCGATGAAACGACAACAGAATCATCCGACCAACCCAAACCAAAATTATCACCAATGCGAAATTAACGATGCCCGATTTTAAAATGCCAGATCGCCCTAAAATTTCGATGCCAGACTTTAAGATGCCGGAACGTCCAAAGATTTCGATGCCACAGTTCAAAATGCCAGATAAATCCAGATTTAAAATGCCCGAAAGACCACACATGCCGGACTTTAAGATGCCGGATAGACCTAAGATGCCCGATTTTAAAATGCCAGATTTTAAAATGCCCGAGATGCCCGATTTTAAATTACCGAACTTGAAAAGACACAACTCGATGAAAGAACCCCCGACAAGCAGCGAGTCTACAGCAGAGGACCCGAAAAAACGTATAGTGTTTGATTTTAAAACGTATCCGAGAATTTTCACAAAGAAACAACGCGATCAGGAATACCACACATCATCCCCAAAAGAAGAGAGAGTCATTGAAAGTTCTACTGTTCCCAGAGCTGCGGCCAGGAAAAAAGGCCCTGTGGGGGCGCGTTGGGTCAATCGCTTCACCGATATTAAATTTGTCGATGACGGCGACACGAAACGCGGAGACTTCGAGGACCGCCTTCATCGCTTGGACGAAGACTACAAACAGATGCAGCAGGAACAAGAATTCGATGATATTCATCCAGATTCGTTCAACGAATCCAGTGAAGATTACTCCGGGCACCAGAATCGTTACTGGGCCGACGAAGTGGACAGCACCAGGCCTGAATTTAATTACGGTGTTAAGGTTGATGGACAAGAAACACCTTCGTCAAATATGGAAGAGCGTGGATCGTCCGGGGAGTCGTACGAGAAGCGTAGAGTAGGCGTGCTGGAAGAAATAGATGCCGATGAGTTTTTTTTGAGGCAACGAGGAATTTCGCAAGATGATATCGAAGTCGGTAAGTATCTCAGCTCGGAAATAAGAGATGCGTTTAAGACTCCAGTCAACGCTTTGGAGCAGGTCGGTTCCTATAATGGCTACGAAGAACGCGATTTAGATATGAATGATTATAGTGCTTCGCGTGACGTCGATGAAGGCGAAGACCTAGATATGGAGGTATCCTTGACGCCCTTGAAGCCTGAACGAACACGATCATTGCGCCGGCAGAAACCTCACATTGAAGATATTAATAGAGATGAGGAAGTTTTTAATGGTTTCAACACTTTTCCACCGAACAAACCTAGAAGGCAAAAGAAAGGTAAAAAATACTTGGAGGACAATGAACGTCCTGTGTACAACGTTGACAAAGAATTCAACGATGAAAACGACAGGAATGTTCTCAATAGAGACAATATCAACAATTTCGAGAGCTTACTTTACGAAAATCAAATGATGGAAGGAAAAACGCAACCTGACATCATGGTAGTGCACGATGTATTGCTTAATGATATTAACAGAAGAATGTATGAGAACGACGATTTTGAAATAGGCGATAATGCTTACGAAAATGAGGAAAATATTAAGAATTTATTGATGGAGCAACAGGGACCTCCGCCGCGAGCTCCTAGAAGAAAACGTAAACGAAGCTTGAGGGATGTTAGTGCTTCTTCGGAACCCGGTTCAATTATAAACGCTCAATTTCAAGACGATTGGCCAAGTTTATCACAATTGCCTGCTGACATCGACGACGAGGTATATATAGGCACATAATATTATATTTTGATTATCAGTTATCGAATGCATTTTTTCCAGGTCATAGTCCATCGAGTTCAGCACGAATATATTATACCTCTAGCCGAATCGGAACAATTTCCAAGCCCCACCCCTCCTCGTCGTACCAGATCCAGATCACTTACGTCCAGAGCCACCACCGCTCCTGATGAAGACAGAACTTCACACGGAGCAGAATCTTTAGTTTCAGACAACGACAAGGACTTATCAAGAAACATTTTGGATTTGCAAGACGCTTCAGGATATGCAGTTGTCAAACGCACGCCTTCAGTGCCAAAGAGGAGAAAGCGGTTTTCAAAGTCGGCGGAGACTAGACCTAGTTATCATTCTACACCCAGAATGAAAGAACCTCCCCCCAGGCCACCACCGAGGAGACAATCTGTACCGGATTTGAGAGCCGATTCTCTAGACGCCACACAGTATGAAGAAGTTGAAAATGATAAATTGATGATTGAGGATTTGAATTCTGGTGATGTTTTGAATAAAATGAAAGATAGACCATTACCTGCTCCTCCACGACCTCCGAGAGCAGCAAAAAGAAAAAAGAAGCCCAAACAAGATAACTTTGATGGTATCGACAGCATATCACCTTTACAAAAAGAACCAGAACATGAGTTAGGTTCAATTGATAACTTGGAGGATGAACTCTTACATCGACGGATGATACAAGACATTGCTAATAGAATGGTGAATGATGTTATAGAAAATGCTGAAATGCAAGTAGAACAAGCAGGTATCGATGAACATGAAATGTGGACACAGACTGATCCTTTACCTGATTGTTTTGTATGCGAAGATGATGGCATTCAACCTGATGAAGTTATATTAAAAGACGTTTGGAAAGACAAAATAGCATTACAAGACATTAATAATTTCTCTACCATCGAAAGGAATAAAGATGACTCGAGAACACATAAAGAAGATTCCAGTAGATCTTCACTGGATCCTTCTGATGTGGAACGAGCGCGTAAAATAGCTGACTCTGATAGTTTAACACGAGGCCTTCGTAGATTCAGAGAATCTTCTAGACAGCGAACATTTTCGAGTTCTAGAACGCCGTCAGAAAGAGCCATGTCTGAACACGCTTTATTGTTAGAACGAACTCTAGTCACACCGACAAAAGCTGAGGACACTGATTTATTAATGACGGAAGCTAAATTGCTTGTTCAACCTGTAGATGATGAATTAGATATTGATGATTTATTAGAAGAAAAAGCAAGAGAGGAGAAAAGGAAGCAAATGCATTTACAAACTGCAGAGGAAGAAGCTGTAGCCCAAATTCCAAATATAAAAGATATTTGTTTGCAAGAGACTGAAGCCATTTGTGAACTCGAAATTGTAGACGAACCACCTGTACCTATGAAAAGACATGCTAGTTTGAAAAAATCTAGATCGATCCCCACACAAGAAACAGAACCCGAGCAAAAACTATCTGCAAGTGCAGAAGTAGATATAGCATTAATTAGAAGACAGCAAGATGTCCCAGTGGCATCCGCACCTACGTCAGATGTCGAGATATTAAAGACAAACCGTCTACAAGTTTCAAATTTGGATGTAGAGAATTTGAATGTGTCGCAACTCCAAGCAAACTCAATAAAAGTTTCAGAAGTGGATGGTGTAGCAATGCAAGTAAAAGAACTCAATTCCAAGTCAGGTAATTTAGTAGTTACTGGTATTGACATAGCTCCTACAATAATACAAGAAATAATAGGCAGGCTGACTCCTACCAATATGCACAATACAGCCCAAATTTCAACGCAAACAGATGAACCTTACGAGTCATCTAAAAAGCAACCAGAAAGTGTTCAAGAACATCTTGGTTTTCCACCGACTGCAATACAAATCGATCCAAGTCTTTACTTTAACCAAAATCCTTACATGCAACAAAGCTTATACTATCCTCATCCAGGATCTGTGCCACCGGCATCTTTTTACACTTTGAGACCACCAGATTTCTCAGAAGAAGAAGTTCAACAAGTCCAGCTCCCTAAACAGACACGAAGGAGACATGCACCTAAAAAAGAGTCTACATCTGAGGAAGAGCAACAAGAGACTGTGACAAGACACAGAAGAATGGGAACAAGGTCACCAGAGCCATCAATTCAAGAGATAACTGGGCAGCTGGTACAAGCATGCAGTAATTCAGTGCAAAGAAATGCTCGTCAAATTTGGAATGCTATTAAAACAAAAACAAACACAGAAGAAAGAAAGCGAGAAATTCAAATAGCTTTGATTGTCTTACTTGTATTCACAGCCGGATTGATAATGATTGCTCTGAGTGATAACAAAACTGTCCATCACCATCACTGGGAATTTTTTAATCCTCCTACATCTGATAAAAATGCCTAAAGTTTTATTTAGGCTTAAACAAGTATTTAATTTATTTGCTGATTGTGAACGTGTTGAATTTTTGCTTTTATATATTAAATAACATGTCTTAATCATTTCAATGTCATATATAGACATTTATTTATAATTCAGGTGTATCTTTTCATTTTACAATTTTGGTAAATATAAATATTTAGGCCTGAATTCTTTCTTTATACAAATATTATACTATTTATGTATAAACCTATATCATACCTTGGCAAAATAAATGATTTTTCTCACAAAAAATTAAGTTATCACAATTAAAACATTAAAAACAATGTTTTAATCAAATATATCCATAGATTCGTAAGTAACAATCTCTCTTGTGTCCTTGTGACTACCTTTTTGTGATTGATTGGCAGCTACAACAAATAAATTAAAAATAATTTAAATTAAGATCATACTATGGATATTCATGATTTGTTTGCATACCTAAAGTAGCCCATGCTGCTGAAGACGTGGCATCATTTATTGGTTCAATTTGAGGTTGTCTTCGTGCTAGTGAAACTTTTAAATCAATACCACCCACTTTTGCATTATCTAACTAAAATAATAATATATCATTTTTATTTTGTAATTTCTTAATTTCATGAATAACATTTGTTTATTTGTTATTTACCTCTTTAATAGCTCGTTCTGCAGATTCCACTTTATCAAATGTCACAAAACCACGACTAAAACATAAAAATAAATAATGTTATTGCTAGCCAGAGTTTACACATTAGATAAGATAGCAGATGCTTTTGCCAGATCAAATTCCATTCATTATTAAACTTACTGTTTTTCAATCTCCATTGAAATATAAAGTATATTCCCAAATTCGCTAAAATTCTTTTGCAAAAATTCTTGTGTTACTTGATAGCCGGATACATAAACAGTATTTCCTGTCCTCTTTGCAGTATTTTGAGAAGCATTTTGTACAGTTGAAGTAATCACATTACTGCTAACTGTTGGAGTACTTCCAACAGCAGCAGAGTCTTTTAAACCACGCTCATCCTTGTCACGCTCAGATACAAAGTGGTCATATAGATTTTTGGCTCTAGAAAAGATATGATATATATATATATATATATATATATATATATATATAATAATCATTTATTCTTGACAGTTCAATATTTACCTTGGAGTAGCTTTATCACTGAATTCATTTATGTTATTTGTATCAATATTAGACTGGAATGGCTGATATGAACTAACTTTTTCTGGTTGTATTCTCTTTCTCTCTTGACCTGTATATACATCAAAATATATGAAAACTTCATTCATATCAATATATATTATCTATCTAATAATAACCTCTCGGTCTTTTAAATATTAATTGTGCAGGTTTTTGACTGGGTTTGGGAATTGCAGGTATAGCTCCACTTTTTATTAATTTCCTAGCAACCTCTTTAGCATCTCTTGCATCTGCCGGTCTTTTTGGTAACACAGGTTTTTCAGGTTCAGGTTTAGGAGCTTTTAAAGCTTGTAAAGCTTTTTTCTATAAATGTTATGCAATATTTAATTGAGATCAAAATATAAGCTTATCAAATACATAAACTTATGAAGGACAAAATATAAATGATTAAACTTAGTTCATCTCTAATACAAAATTATATTTATATCAACTGTCTGTTATTTAAAATGAAAAATATCTCATTGTTTAAATAAATTAATATTACTTAAGAAATTTATGGTTTGATCTCATAATAATTTACCTTTTTCTTCAATTTTTGATATTTTGCTTGTAGCATATGCTCTTCTTCAGTAAGATTGGATGGAAAATGTATGTAAACAGTCTTCATATTATATAATATTAATTAAAATTAATATTTATCTACCTTTTTCTTATTTTTTTCTATTTATTATATTTTTCTGCATTCGTACCCTAAGTTTGACACTCGTGTTAAATAATTGAACTTATCTGCAAAAATCAGGGCATGAAACCGTGAAAATGTATAATGCTGCGTCCCCACTGCACGAATCCGTGCGGCGAATCCTGTTCGCGACGCACGCATGCGTTGGCTCTTGTGCGCGACGCACACTGCGAGCAATTTGATACATTTGAAATTTTTAGGATTTCATAATATTTTTTTTCTTGATACAGTTCAATTATAAGAAGTGTAAAGAAGTATAACATCTTCTCTACGCATATCCATTTTCAAAATTGAGGATACGATGAAATATCTTAATGCCTTCACTTGAAACTTGAACTTATACCGTAGCACAGATCAACGTTTACGTACAAGTTCAAAGAAATAACGTATACGGATACAGAGGCAGGCTGACCAACAATTATCAGTTTTGAATAAAAATTATTACGTCTGTTCTAAATATAAATACTTATCAGAAAAGACTTTGAGCAAAAATTCAGTCTGCATATTAATAAGATTTTAAATGATATTTAGCGTAATTGCAAATAATACAATATTACCATTTTTTTTTTGAAACATTTAATTTATTTTGAATAATAAATATATGATACGTCATATAAGTAGTAAGAGTATATATATATATATATATATATATATATATATATATATACATGATAATATCATGATGATATAAAATTAACTCTGAAATATGATAAATAAAGTCTACCAAAATATATTTTAGTTGGATATACATATATTTCAACATATCTATAACTTAATTACCGATGTATTTCCTATACTAATAGTTAGATAAAATTATAATTAGTACATCAATTTTAATGACTGCTTACTTATTTACATTTTCGATCCGCGCTTTGACGCTAATCCATTAGTGTCGGTTCGGGTATTCTCGGCAGCCCGATGCGTCGGGTTGCTCGCGGCGGGAGCGAGCGCCGCGAACGCAAGCTATTGAAATTTTCGTGTCGCTTCGACCATGTTCGGCAGGGTACGTAATTCTAAAAATAACCCCCCCCACCCATTTTCAAACAAAAAAAGAAGAAAAAAGTGCGCTATGGACATGCGCAGTGGACAAATTTAAAGGAAATTCGTGCGTTCGCACAGTATCACTCCGCTGCGCAAATTTGTTCGTGACGCACCATTCGCCGCACGGATTCGTAACAGTGGAGACGCGGCATAACATGTTTTTGCTCTCTTCTCTTTTCTATGCTTGTAATCCCTCTTGTAATTCTTGTCAATAATGCTTGTTATTATTATTATTATCTTATTATTTCTTATAATGTTATTTTCTTATATTTATTATTATCTATCACTTATTGTTTTGATTCCACTTTTTTATTTATTTTATTTATTAATTTGCTTTATATGCTTTTATTTTATATTAAATCATCATACTACGGATATCATTTTAATTTAAATTCTATCCTTTGTAATCTTATTTATTTAAATTTATGTTATTGTTTATTATTATTAGTAGATGTTAAATTATTTAACAGTTGTAATAAATATTGTAATTAAAAAAAAATGCTTGCCTTTTAATATTTCAAGTCAAAAATTCGTCGATATATATCCATGCTTTTTTACTCAAATCAAACGTCTTAAAAACACACACTTTTTGTCTAGGTGGTTATTTACTATCAAACTTTAAGAAACAGAAAACAAAGTACTCTCGGGAATCAAATCAAAGTATTCACGGTGCCCTTGTTCAATAACATTCTGCGTAAACCGTTAACAATTATTGACCATGAATATACTCATAGATTAGCATACTCAATAAGCATCTTTCAGATCCCATATAATTCAAAGTATATACTCATATCGTTTAGGATTATGACCATCGACCATAGATAAATAAACCTAAACCCTGCACAATATATTCATTATGAATGCCAATGCATAGACCTTAAAATACAAATGTATTAAGGTCTATGCCATGAATATTATCATATTCTAATATTGTCTAGGGTCTATACTGCCATAACAATATATTATATTCCAATATTGTCCACGATGACTGTTGTTTTTAATTAGTACGATCATATTTATGGTTTCATCAGAAAGCTGATGTCAAATCATAATTTTTAACACAATTTAATGCTATTGCTTAATTGCGAATTTCGTTTTAATTCACAACTCAATAATCAGTCTCATAAAACAAGTACAAAATAAACATAATAGAAAAACTATTTAGTATTTAATAGAAAAACCTGAAAGATAACTTACTAACAAGAAGAAAACGATTTGTAATATACATAATATCTAATAATTTATTTCAAAACACAAACACATCTTAAGCATACTGCAAACATACAAAAACATTAAAATTAAGTGAGAAATTCTAATAAAAATTACCCTTTTCTGCATAATCTTTGTTGTCATCAAATTACATGCCCCCCTTTTGGATTTTTTGCTATATTTTATTTGCTTTATAAAAAATATAGTATACATCAGCTAGCATGTACATAACATTTCCTTTGTACAATATTTAACATTAAACAAAATCTTTTTTGATAAAACAAAAAAGGAAATAATTGTTTACTTCGCAATCACAGATCAAAATTCACAAATCACAATCATTACAAGTTGAAGAGGCATTTAATTGATTGTTCTTCAAATTAATTCTAAAGTGAGAGCACTTTTTAAAATATACAATTACACACAATCTATTATTGAGTATAGCTTGTGTCATACTTAATAAAATATGCTTTTAGTTTAACTTTCATAAACCAACAGTGATAAAATTTAACTTTCATCTTTAACTTGAGCAGACACATGGTCTGGTTTTTCTCCTTTGGCATGTCTTTCCCACATTTTAGAATATAGCATTTCCATACCTTGCGCATACTTTTTACAATCAAACAAAGGGCTCGTCATTCGTGCCGTCCACACTTTTGCACGCATAGCTCTCAAACTGAAAAAATAAAATAGAATGAAATTAGTAACTAATATCAAATATAATGTAATGGAAAAGAATTATTCTTTTCTCAAACGTTACTCACTATTCTCTGTCAGTGCCTAATTTAATTGCTATATCTTGATAGTCCTGCCTAGTCCTGGCAATTAATTCTGGACAACCCAAAGTTGCAAGTTGCGAAGCAGCTACTCTAGAAGCTAATGTTTCTCCCGGAAGCGTTACTACAGGTGTACCAGTCCACAAAACATCCATTGAAGTGGT